AGGGCGAGCAGCAGTTCAAGGCAAACTGGCTTTCTGCGGCGAAGAAGGTGGACAAGGTGGCTGTACAAAATCTGATGGCAGGGGTCAAGCGTAAGGCCCGGCAATTCGGATTTGGAAAAGCGGAAGCCTAACTGAATATTTTTCCTGAATTTTATACTAATTGAACTTGAAAAAGAAATTTAATTTGATTTTTTAAATAAACGATTTCACCGATTTACACGCGTTTTCCCTTGACCAAATTTTGACCGTATCACCCTTTATTCCAAGTTCTTCTCAACCATCTGTAGGGATAAAACTCCTCTGAATGGTTGCTAAATTGTGCCAACTGCAGAAGAAATTTTGAAGGAGTCGGTTTTCAACGGTTGTTGCGCAGACTTTCAAACACCCCTTGAAAATAAGGCTTTGGATTTGTGCAAACTTTTGTTCGAATTTCGTAAGAAATTTACTGTAATTAAAGTGAATTTCTTACGAAATTCGAACAAAAGTTGGCACAAATCCAAAATTGATACAGCCATTACTCTAAGTCTAACCAACCACCAATGACAGGTAGAGATGTTCCTGACAAACCTGCGCAACACGTACAACAAAGCAATAACCGATCCGAGAACGGCTGGAAGAATATCCTGCATCCTGCGAAGGTCAAATTTACATTTGGAAGTGAACCTTACAAATAATGGGTTGTTAAGAACCATTACCATTCCAAATTCTTTTTTCTCCATACATTTTTGGGAAAGGAATTATATTGGAACCATTTTATTTATGAAGTAATGAAATTGGGTTGTTAGCGGAATGCTTAAATAAAACAGCAAAAAAAGGTTATCTTCCATTTAATTCCACTTAATTAATTTTGGTATCCATGACAGCTACGTATTTCGACTACAATGTGCAGTCTTCATCAGTGTCATTCCCACTTAAGAACTTTTCAAAATCTAACCCCCTGAAAAACTCATCCCCTAGGTATAAAAGTCAAGATCACAGGTATAAAAATACCCTTTTTTGCTGTTTTATTTAAGCATTCCGCTAACAACCCAATTTCATTACCTCATAATGATGGCTACCAAGCCTTTGGGATTTTCCTTATTAGAGAGTTGAATAGATTTTTCTCCTTTAGTTTACTTAAATCTTTGGTTTTAATTAGTTAGGTAGGTTCCGATTCGACACATTGTACATAGTTTGATTTTTATACCTGTGATCTTGACTTTTATACCTAGGGGATGAGTACTTTAGGGGGTTTAGATTTTGAAAAGTTCTTTAGTGCGAATGACACTGATGAAGACTGCACATTGTAGTCGAAATACGTAGCTGTCATGGATACCAAAATTAATTGAGTGTTGATTATGTCTTATCTTAAATGTGATGTTGTACAAATATATGCCATGTTTAAAGAAGATTTATTTAAGCCTGCAGCGATGTTTTTGTTACGATTTTGGTTAAGTATTGAATTTATTTGCGGTGAAAATTTTTGCATCATTTTTATTATTCAGACTGCAACTATAAATAAATAGCATTTGTTTTGTTGAAGCGTTGGCTTGGAACTTGACCAGTAAAAATACGCATGATGTGTCTTGTCAAGTTGATCCGATTTCAGGAACTGTAGACGACTAGGTGCTGGACCGTATGATCAACGAAATGCTTCTCAACAGAACCGCTCTACTTGGATCGTCGACATCAGAGGAAGTGCACATAGGTGCTGCACCTTCCTTCACTGGATCATTCGGTAGTGCAATTTTGTCCCATCGTCGGGCGTACTTCCCAGAGCGCTGGAAAGTTGGTCAATTCGATAGGGGAAATGTTGGCTTCGGCAATACCTTAACCTATTATCGTCAGGGGGTAAACAAAGTCCTAGAGCACTCAAATTTGGCCAATAGTTGCTCTGAAACACAATGTATCCACATGCCAAAATTGAGCTCTCAAGGACGTTATTTACCCCCCTGACGATAATAGGTTAAGGTATTGCCGAAACCAACTTTTCCCCTATATTTTATTTTAGGAAACTATTTATTTAGTGAATAAGGATGATTACATAATTTAGTTACAATGCATTTTTTTTCCTTTGGTTTGTTTTTTCCGTCGATCTTGTTTTCCGTGCTGAGCACCAATGCTACCGACGTGCCAGGAAGGCAGCTCCCACACCTGGACCCTACCTACCCATCAACTCATGAACCGGGGAACATCCCGGCGGCGCCGACTGGGATTGAACCCAGGCCTGCTGGGGTGAGAGGTAATCACGCTTACCACTACACCACCGGCGCCGTTTAGTTACAATGCATTTAAACCTGAACTAAAATACAAACAGATACAAATACCTTTTCTATTCTGGTGGTAATTCTACTAAGTCCAATGTGGATAGCAAGACCTTATCGCCAAGTTAGAAATAAAAATTCTAAAATCAATGCTCTATTTTTTTAAAACAATGTATAATATACTTACTGCAAGTTTTATTTTCGCAAATTAAATGCAGATAAATAAGCGAAACTTTTTTGAATCATGGCGAAAAGTAAACAGTGTGGCATGTTGCTGACTTGATAAGCACAAATATGAATTTTGACACGTTATTCGTTGTCATGTATAAATAAAAACGTTTTTTTTTTTAATCGCTAAATCAGATATAGCTTAAATTTTGTACTATTTTCGATTAGTAATATATTTGAGGTTTCAAGAAAAACTTATTCAAAGATTTACGTCTGTTTGTCTGTGGTACTGCTTTCGACACAGCTTAAACTCTCGGCACACGGCGAATGAGAACAACCCAAATTTGAGTTTAGATCACTCATAATCGCCAAAAGTGCAGGAACTCAGCGATGAGTAAAATTTGTCTCATGGTTTCCTGTGGAAAACCTACAAAATCTGCCGGAAAATGAGGAAATTGACGAAAATTTTATTCAGTCTCGGAGTAGTACCAATAGACTGAGTGAATCCAATCTTTACTTTTCTCAAATTCGGGAATTTTTCCTTGGAAAATCCTGGAAAAACCTGGGAAAACATGAGGCAAATTTACTCATCGCTGAGTTCCTGCACTTTTGGCGATTATGAGTGAACTAAACTCAAATTTGGGTTGTTCTCATTCGCCGTACACAGATTAAGGTTTGCAGAGTTGAATTCTTCTTGGATTATTGCAATGAATTAATCATACTTTATCATTATACGAATAAATTTGACCAGCCTTTAAGCGAAGACATCAAATCAAGAAGCTTGATATGTTGTCTTCGCTTTAAGATACACTTGTTTTATTACTTTGAAATTTAATTTAATGACATTTTGAGTGTTGATCCTAATACTTTTGTCTTTCGAACGAATCTATTAAAGGGACGTAAGACTGGGCGATGTTCCTGATCGTTGGATTGTTATGACAGCACCAGTTATTTTTTTATATTGACAAGCATTTCGAGTGACTCTGCACCAGTCAGGTTACAAGCAATCTTTTTCTAAATTTTGAACAGTTGTTAGGTTGCATTCCATTTGGTAAATTTTCACTTAAATTTGACACGATAATAAATTAAGATGTTCGAAAATCCCTCAGTTGTTGATTGGCTGATTTTCGAGAAGGTGTGCGTCAAAATTGATTCCTTGTCTGTCAGAAATAAGACTGGTAATAAGCAGGTTTATTTGAAAATTTTCCATCAGTCAAATTTAAGTAAAAATTCGCCAAATGGAACACAGCCTTAGTTACCCCAAATTGAACCAAAAAAGGGTTGTTCTTGCTTGATGAGGGCCAATTTGCGTTTTTCCATATAACGGTGACCAACCCTTATACTCATTACCTAGGGGAAATGGCTCTTATGTTGGCCTATGGATCTAATGTTGGGCCCATCGCTAAAAATTTGCTATTTATCAATTTTACCTAGGTGAACGCGTCATTGGGACGGTACTAATCGTACTAATGGATATTTTTGGTTGCTTGCTGAATTTATGTATGGGCCCAAACTAGGGGCATTTAGGCCGACATTACATCCATTTCTCCTAAGTAAAATTGTTCTAGATTTCCTTCATATTCGAGCACGCGGCGAATGAATCTGACTAGTAAACTTTGACTCAAATATGAGTAAACATTATGAGCGGCATTTACTAAAATTTGAGTAAAAATGTACTGCTGCTGTCACCCATTATTGCACAGTTTTCAATTTCTAGAACCCAGAACCAATCCCAACCAATGAACATTTCGGATCTCTAGCAACCAAACGCAGTCGGTTTCAACAACTATGTTCATGAGTTTATTCCAGTTTATATTACTATGTCATTTCCCTTCCGGTCTATATAGTATGGGGATAGCATCCAGCATTATTATTATTCGTTTCCGGGTATAGCGTATCGTATGTATATATTTAGAACGATGTTGTTTCTATTGTTTATTTCCCCATTATTATTTTTTTCTGTTACAACTACCCGGTTGAGATAATATAATAGCATATTGCGATTTGCGATAGATCGGTTATTCTCATCACCATGCTGATAATGATTTTCATTGTTTTTTGTTTTCTTTTTTCATTGGCCAAAATACACGATGCTTACACAGTAATCGTTCGGTTTCGAATGTTAATTTTTGTTTTGCAAATTGATCAAATAAAATTTGGATGCGAAAATACACTTGCAACGTTTAACCGTGACGTGAGTACCTATGTGTGTGTGTGTGTGTTAGAATGATAAATGCTCATTACTAAATATGCCGATAAAATGGTCTATTATTCTTGTTCTCAGATGATTGCGTACTGGTTCTATGTCGATTGTAGGGTTGTATTAGCATTGACATTATAACAGATGAGAGGGTGGGGACCGAGGTTTTGGCATTGCTGCCATCCACAGGATCAGGCGGGGGTCATTCAACACTGGTCAACATAATATTTTGCGTTTGTGCAGCGATGGGCTTTGGTCAACCTGCTGGTGCTTCGGCGGTGTATTCGAGGACAGCAGTAAAAAGTAACATTTATACGATTCTTGCTCTCATTTATGGCCAGTGGTTACAGCGAAATATTTCCGATATTTTTTGTTGTTGTTGTTGGCTATAGTTTACTCTCGTGGTTATGATGCACCTTCATAGTTTCCTTCATTTACAACGTGTGGGGGATCCTTGTGTATTGGTTTTGTACACACAGTTTTTTTTTTTCTTAGTTCGATTCGAATCTTATCATTCTAGTGTTGCTACTGATGTTGAACGAAAATAAAAAGACTTTCTAACAGAAGAAAAGGATGCAGAATCAAACTAATGGAATGGATCGAGAAAAATCGTTAGAAAAGCTTCAAACCGAACAACAAGTATTTACACACAGCGACGATGGGAAAATGAAGCGGCGAATGGTAGGTTGAGATTCAACTCATTATTATTGGTTGGCTTGGTTGGTTGGTAGGTCGGTACCCAAATTAGTAACCAATAATGGAAAATCCATAATGCATCTATTAAATAGGAGTTATAAGAGGAAAAATGTATTGATTTTTTGTTCCAACATTATCGCATTTTTTTTTTTGTTTACTAGAATAGCCTACATCGTCTCATTCTTCCAATCAATGGTCTAATCTGCTAATTAAATCGAGTTTGTTTTAGAGGATGAACTATGCATATTTTATTATTGTTACCTTTTATACTTTATATATAATGTGTGTAATCATAATAACGAGAATAAGGAGCATTTGCTGCTAGCCTGTTTGCCTAAACATACTTTGATAACTCTTGCTTTTGTCCAATAGTTCTGCGTTTGATAATAATAGTTTTCCACAATTACCTTTCACATTCAATGAAAATCTTTGTATGCACTATCTGCGCGTGTATGTAAGTGTGTATGTTTCACAATTTCTCAACGTCGATGAATTAAATTAATCCACAATAACAGGGTCGAAGAATGTCGTCGATACAGACCTGACATCCCTATCGAATAGAACATAGAGATGCTGGTAATTCGTGATTTGTGTGACCATCGATCGGTCCTCATTTTTTGTTTTTTTTTTATCAATCCTACTACTAGCAATAGTAGTGGGTAAACTTGTACCACGAATATCGAGAGCCAAAAGATTTTTGCAATCAGCAGAATTATTGATTTCCTATGGGTTATTAACAGCGCGTCTCGTACAGCCCGCTGCGACCGATGTAGCGCACCCATTTGATCACATCGTGGTCCGAGTAGTTCAGCTTAGGCTCAAATACCTTCAGATAGCGCACCTGCAATAGAGGAAGAAAGAAAATGAAGTTGATAAGAGCCTTAGGCCAACAACGCACACAGCCCCCCATAAGTCATCACCTTTGTTAGACCCTCGGTACTGTCGGAGTTCGCGATCGTGCTATATCGATCGATCTTTGCTTATCTAACGAAGGAGAGATCGACTGATCCACAAGATCACGGTCGGATACGGTCGAACAAGGCGAAGCCTTCGTGCACACTATTTGTTAGTAATTAAGAATAAAATGCGTTCAACGTAGAGTAGTACAAAGAAAATGTGTTCAGTGTAGTAGATATTAGAATAAAGTGTTTTCATTTATTTATTTATTTATTTATTTGTCAGCATCAACAGACTCGATATGGTCCCAATGATGGTTTAACTTAAAATTAAAATTAAAGTCATAAGTTAAAACTACAAAACATTAAAACATGATCATTGACTGTTTCCATTTCTGGAGAAGAATGAAGAGAAACGTCTCCCAAGTGTTAGTCGTGGCAGGTGAAAATCGAATACTGTGAAACTCGGTTAAATATTCGCTGCAGTCCGCCTATTGCACCGTTGATGGCATAGTTTGTCCTACGTAGTGGCATTCTCAGCATAACATTGTTACGAAGCATTCGGGGTTGGACGTTAATGTTTACTTGCTCCAAGATTGCCATGCAATCAATTCTGCCATGTAACGTGTCCGCGACAAGCAGGGCTTTTGAAGTATCTCTTCTGGTGCGAAGAGGCTCCAAGTCAATCAGCTGGCAGCGACTTTCATAGCTGGGCAAATGAAACGGGTCTCTCTCCCAGGTAACATTCTCAACGCGTATCGCAGAAAGCGGCGTTGAACGGACTCGACACTCGCAGTACCATTGTTGTAGTTCGGACTCCAAACCACAGAACAATATTCTAGAATGGAACGTACCAGGGAACAATACAGTGACTTGAGGCAATGGAAGTCGGAGAAATTCTTAGCTGTTCTGAAGATAAAGCCCAATGTCCTTGACGACTTGTCGACGACGTACGAGATGTGTTGCTTATATGTAAGTTGAGAGTCCAGGATGACACCCAGATCTTTTACATGGCTCACACGTTCAATAATGGTGTCCCGGAGAGCATTGTGAAAAATAACTGGTTATTTCTTTCGGGTAAAAGTGATGACTGAACACTTCGCAGGATTTACTGTCATTCGGTTCAAATGGCACCAGCTGGCAAACGCTTCAAACTGACGTTGGATAACTTGACAATCATCGATCGAGCAGATCCGTAAGTAGATTTGATTTCGTCTGCATACGATAGTCGTGGACCTTCGATAACTAAATTCACGTCATTGAAGTAGAGTAAGAAAATCAACGGTCCCAGATGACTTCCTTGAGGTATTCCTGACGTAGCTGCGAAAATGTCGGACTGGCAGTCACTATGGGCTACCACCAACCAGTGTTGGAAAAATCATATTCAAAAAAAGTTCTATCACAGCTCATTGCAGAGATAAATCCCAAAGGAACTTCTCACAAAAAGTTCGCGAACGAGAGATGATAAAAAGTTCATGAAAGCGTAGAGCGGGAGAAATTTTCATTTCGTATCGCGAAAGATGTTTCGTCTCTCCATCTCACATCATTTCACACGTACTCGTGATTCGAACCAACCAAATATCCCCTCAGCTTTGTTCTTTTTTTTCCAGCGAGTAAAGGTAGGCGATGATCACGCGAGAGTGTCTGTTTGTTTTCTTCTCGTTCTCCGATATTTTTCGCATCCTTCACATTAAATACCATTTCCAGAGAACTTTGAGATTTGGGCGTAATTGCTTTTGTAAACAAACACGTCATTCAGCGATTTCTCACGAATCAAAGCACAATCTAGCGAACTTTACTATACCAAATGAATCATTCCTCTACCTGTCCGTGTTGTTAGCTTTTTAGATTGAACTTTAATTCACGAGAAATCGGCGAATTAAGTGTGTGTTTACAAAAGAAATTACGCCCTAATCTCAAAGTTTTCCGGATTTATTTATAGTTTTAGTTCTCAATGCAACCAGCTAATAGTAAATACTTGTAACTATTCACCAAGAGTCTAATCTTTGCTGACCAAATCATCATTTGTGGCTGTACTCTTCGACAAGAAGAACTATGCTATTAGTGAAATTTAGATCGTTCTCAATCTGTCACTATATCAAAAGCTCAAGGTACATGGTACTTTGATTAATTTTGTGTTCATTTCCAGCCAACTGGTAATAATTTTTTGTTTTTCTTTTTTTTCTGCCTATATTTTTCACAGTTTTAATGGACATTGAATAACCTGTTTAAATTTTTTATCATCCTAAATTGCACACTAAAAAAATGTTTTTGTCAGATCCTTGGTCAGCAAATAAAGCGTTTTGAAGTTCAGCAGTGCAGCAGTCCCGCATACCTTATGGTTTTACATAGTTTTACAGGATTCCCAGTCATGGGAGAGGACAGTAATAGCCCAGTGCTGTAAATTTTCATATCATTCGATTGAAGATGAACCACTACAACCATTCAATCAATTCTGTGTAAACGAATTCTCACATGACCATAATTTGAAGAGTCCCTTTCTCATTCGAAGCTCATTGTCAGTGTCAATTTAGTCACTCAGTATCATTTGATATACGACAGTGGAGTATGGAAGAAATCCAGGAAAATGGTCCCGAACAGACAAGTCGACCCGATGTCGGATCAATGTAAGGCTAATTTAAGGTCGATGTCGACCCAATGTCGTGTTAATGTCGGGTCAATTTTGGGTTTATGTCGGGTCAATGTCGGGTCAACATCGGGTTGGGGTTTGATAGAAGTCAGGTTGGTGTCGGGTTGGCTTAGCTTTTTCGCCGGAATGTCGACCAGAGCTCCGTTTGTGTGTAGGTTACACTCAATCGAATGATATATAGCGTTTCTCAAATGAGAATGATCCATGCCTTCGTCAAATGACTAAGCAACTGATATCACCCATTCGGAGGAGGTCCCCTTTGATAGCGAATAGCTACTTTTCTCATTTTCATCAAAAATGTTCAAATGATTTTGAGAATTTACAGCACTGGTAATAGCACAGTGAAAAAGTTCACCACCACCTATATTCCCAACCATCCCCCTGCATATAAATATTGCATAAGAGCTTACAGGAACGATATTACGAACACTAGTGATGAGAGGAGCCATGCATTAACTTTATTTCGTGAAAATGAGGATACATTAGGCGCTCCTCCTTCCGCAACCCCCTATCCTGAGGAACGGTTTTAATATAAAAATTGCTAGTCACAAAATCTTACACTACCCTCCCCGTTCCTCGTTAATGTCGCGTTGACACTTGTGCTGATTTATTCGTTTTTTTTTTGCCAGAAACCAATGCACCAATCAATCAGCTGCACAAAACTGTTCACATCATCCTGATAACGGCTACTTTAAACAACAGGCGCCAGTAGACAGCCAGCTACCAGACTTATCAGTCTTTAGAGATTGTATTGATTTACTCGGGATAGCTTTCTGTCTATAATCTTTCCCTTGTGAAATGTGCAGTGCAATTTTCAAGAACGAATGTGGTGTAAAGAGATAGAGAGAAAAAATGATCTGATATTTTTCGTATCCTCACGTTGGTGATTCGAGTTAAAAAAGTTCGCGATATCTCATTCTCTCATCCCAGAAAGTTCGCTCAGGAAATATTGGAGTGTGAAACTAGTGAGGGAAAGTTCCCAAGAGAAAACGTATCGCAAGCGAAAATGATATTTTGGTGAGAATTCCATCACTGCCACCAACTGACGATCGGCGAGATATGAGCGAAACCATCTCAAGAGATTTCCGCTAATCCCAAGTTTATCCAATTTGGCGATCGCGATGGCGTGATTTATCTTATCGAAGGCAGCAGATAAGTCAGTGTAGATGACGTCTGTTTGTGACCTTTCAACCATACTTTGCGTGATGTACGATGTCAGACACAGTAGATTCGTGGTAGTAGATCGACCAGAGGTGAAACCATGTTGATATTCACTTAGATACTGCTTGCAATGGGAGAGCAGAGGCTCTATGATGATTAACTCGAATAACTTCGAAATTGCGCACAACGATGTAATTCCACGATAATTATCCACGTTCCGTTTACTACCCTTTTTATACACAGGGAACGTATGCGCAAATTTCCAGTTCGATGGAAAAAAGCCACACGATATGGACAATCGGAACAGATGTTGTAGCGGTGACAGTATGTTAGCGATATGCTTCTTCAGAAAGACTGAAGGGACACCTTCCGGTTCAGGGTTGATAGAAGGCTTTAGTTTTAGTGCGGCAGTCGTTATCACTTCAGCGTTGACAACAATTCCACCCAGAGCTTGACCGGAAAGTGGAACGTTGCTTGCTGCTAGAGTCACGTATTCGTTGGTTAAGCTCTCTTCAGAGAAGACACTTGCAAACTTGTTGGAGAACAAGCGGCACCGGACCGGACTCTCTGCGCTGCTCCTTCACGTACTTCCAGAAAGACTTCGGGTGCGACTTGAATTTCCTTTGAATCCCTCGCAGATAATGCAAGTAGCATTGACGGCTGACTCGCTTGAACTGATAATTGAGCTTAACGTAGTGACGTTTCAGTGACATCGTTCGATATTTAGTGAATTTCATGTGTTGAGTGTTGTGTAAATCATTATGGAGGCCCAGTGCGCATAGAAAGAAGATCACGGAATCCCGGAAGGTGATGTACGATCCACACTTCAACCACAGCCACGCAAGGGTCATCGCGCGGAGGTAGGCTGCCCCATTGGCTTGAGCTCTCGATCAAACAGTGTATTATAGGTCAATTTGGCGTCGATAATGTGCTTCTGAGAAGCTTACATATGTGAAGACCTACACAAGCGTTTCGTTTTCAAGCTACGACCCCCTAAGGCTAGGTATCCAGTGAAAAATTACTGTCCATTCTGCACCAGGGTAGGGATATAGATTTGACATCACAGAATAATGACCACAGGGGTTCAATTAATCCTGCTTTAAAACGCCGGATAGTAAGGAAAGATATTGAATA